AGCAGAAGAGTATAATTAACCTTCATGTACCCATCAACCATGGCCAATCTCTGCCTTAACCTCTTACCTGCCTCTGTATTATTCAGCAGTGAATCCCAAATGTTACACAACTGCATCAATCAATGTTTTCAATAAATTATCTACATAAGGACACTTTAAAAAAAAAAACCATGAAGCCTGGGTAGCTCAGTCGGTTTAAGCGTCGACTTACATCCAGATCATGATCTCAGAGCTCGTGAGTTCAGGCACCCGGCGTCGAGACTCTGTGCTGACAGCTCAGAAACCTGGAGCACTACTTCTGCTTCTGTCTCTCTCTCTCTCTGTCGCCTTACTAGCATTCTGTCTCTCTGTCTCTGTCAAAAATAAACATTAAAAAAAAAAAAAAATAGCCATGGGGCACCTGGTGTCAGTGATTTGGTAACTCTTGATCTTGGCTCAGGTCATGATCTCACAGCTAATGGGATGAAGCCTGGGTCAGGCTCCTGGCTGATATACAGGCCTGTCTCTTGGGATTCTCATCTCACTTTTGCCCTTCCCCTGCTCTCAGACTCGCTCTCTCTCTCTCTCCTCTCTCTCTCTCCAGTAAATAAATAAACACACATTAAAAAAATAAAAATAATAATCACAACTTCCATAGGCCTAAGAATTTTCACATATAAATGTTTAAAAGTTTACATTTATATTTATTGTACACTGCTAAGTACTGTGACCAATCTTTTCCAGCCCAATCTTTTCAGCCCATCTAATTCTGATCTTCGATTTGGTCTCCTTCTCAGATAAAATACAGGATGATCAGTTGAGGGCATACTTACACTAAAAAAAAATTACTTGCTGTTTATCTGAAATTTGAATGTAGTGGATGTTATGCATTTTATTTGCTGGTATTTAGACGTGGTAACCTTCTGAGAAGTTGTATCTGCAGGGTTTGGAAATAATTCTCAGTCTACGGATAAATGTAGAGAATATGAAAGAAGATGAATATTAAAATTTCTAGGCGATATTGGTCAATAAACAAGATATGCATGTGTATTTCTTTTAGTAAATTGAAACAACCTTATACCTTTTAAAATAGGTCAGTCCTTTGAGAGGGGACCTGTGTGAGCCAACTGATATTCAAAATAAGACACTGCAAACTGAAATATATTCTTCAGAAAGAAGCCCCACCCCTGCCCCAGCCCAAGAACCAAGTCTTTAGATCAGGAGATAAATATTTCGGGGCTCTGAGTATGAGATCCATCTAGAAGTCATGTTGCAAAAGTGGAAAAACATGCTTTTGACATTTCATATTGCAAACCAGATGAACTGCTGCAGAGGAATGAGTAAATCTGGCAATTTGCTATGACAGGTGTTCTCTCTCCATCATGGCACCAAACTGCTTAGCCATCCCTTTCTGTGTGTTTAGGTGGTTAAGGCCATTTCTTCCACAGTGCAAGTCTCTCTAGTTGGAATACTAATGAAAGGTTTTATTTCTCCTAACCTCCCCTTCTCCTTCCAGTTCATTTGTCTGCAACTTTTTTCTTCCACCTACAATGATACAAGAAACAACAAAATAATTTTAAAATGTGTTATTATTAGTCAGGAGTGGAAAGGACAACTCCAAACAAGAATAATACTTGCCTCACATCTAAGTCCTTCCTAGCACCTTCAGTAGATATATGGAGAAAAAAAATGAATAATATCTAGAATGAGGAATTAATTTAAAAAAAAATTTTAATGTATATTTATTTTGAGAGAGAGGGCAGAGTGTGAGTGGGGAGGAGCAGAGAGAAGGAAATACAGACTCTGAAGCAGCAGCAGGCTCTAAACCAGGCATCGCTGCGAGCATGGCGATCTTTGAACTCCCTGAACTCATGAACTGTGAGATCATTGTCGAGGAAGGACGGACACTTACGGGCTGGAATTCCACCACACCAAGGCCTAAAGAGATTATTTTGTTTGATTTCTTAAAGTCATTATTTTTATAATTTAATTTTTTTTAAATGTTTTATTTATTTTTGAAGAGAGAGAGAGAGAGAGAACAAGAAAGGCAGGAAGGGGCAGAGAGAGAGGAGACACAGGAAATCCCAAGCAGTCTCAGCAGCTATGTGTGTTACAGAGCCCAATGCAGAGGAGGCTCAAACAGACAAGTTTCATAGCCTGAACCAAAGTTTTATAATTTAAATAATTATTTTGTAACAAAAAGTTAATTTAAAGTAATTTGTCACAATGTGTTATACTGATTACTTTACAAAATATTTCTTCATTGACACTGATGACAGTATTACTTGTACTGTAAAAATCTGAAGAGTGCTAAGGGAGGCATGCCTGGGTGGCTCAGTCAGTTAAGCATCAATTCAGCTCAAATCATGATCTCACAACTTGTGGTTTCAGATCCCCGTCCCGGTGTGTTCTCTGCTTGACAGCTCCGCCTGGAGCCCTCTTTTGTATTCTGTGTCTCCCTCTGTCTCTCTTCCCTCCCCTACTCCCCACTCACACTCTGTCTCTCTCTCTCAAAAATAAATATACATTAAAAATTTTTTTTAAATACTAATTCCTCACATTCTAGATATTATTCATTTCCTCTTTTTTCTCCATATATCTACTGAAGGTGCTAGGAAGGACTTTAGATGTGAGGCATTATTCTGTTTGGAGTTGTCCTTTTCCATTCTGACTACACAATACATTTTTTAAAAATTAGTTTTGTTGCTCTTTGTATCATTTATTGTAGGTGAAGCAGCAGTAGACAAATAATAACTTGGAAGGAGAAGGGAGGTTAGGAGAAATAAACCTTTCATTAGTATTCCAACTAGAGAGACTTTGCCTGTGGAAGAAATGGCCTTAACCACCTGTAAACACACAGAAAGGGATGGCGGCTATGCTTGGTGCCATGATGGAGAGAGAACACCTTGTCATACAAATTGTTTGCAGATTTCCATTCCTCTGCAGTTCCATCTGTTTGTAATATGAAGGTCAGTGCTGCTTCCATCTTGCACCATGACTTAGATGGATCTCATCAGAGCCCCGAGCTGACCCTGGATCTGAAGACTTGGTTCTTGGGGCTGGGGCAGGGGGTGGGGCTTCTTTCTGAAGAGAGTCATTTGGTAGTGTCTTATTTGATCAGTTGGGCTCACACACAGGTCCCTCTTTAAAGGACCTATTTTAAAAGGTTGTTTTCAATTTACTAAAAGAAAAACTTCATGCATAGACCTTGTTTATTGTTCAATATCAAGCCCCTAGAAACTTTAATATTCATCTTCTCTCTTTCATATTCTACATTTATCCAGACTGAGAATTATCAAACCCTGCAGATAACTTAGGGTTAACACTAGTCTGGGGTCACTCAGCAAATAAAAATGCATAACATCCACTTACATTCAAATTTCAGATAAACAGCAAGTAATTTTTTAGTGTAAGTATGCCCCCAATCTAACTGATCATCCTGTATTTTATCTGACAAACCTAGTTGAGACCAAATCGAGATTCTAGAATTAGATGGGCTGAAAAGATTGGGGCTGAAAAGATTGGTCACAGTACTTAAGGTGCCAATTAAATATAAATGTAACTTTAAACATTTATATGTGAAATTTTTAGGCCTATGGTGTTGTGATTATGTTTTTATTTTTATTTTTTTAATGTGTGTTTATTTATTTATTTTGAGAGAGAGAGAGGGAGAGAGAGAGAAAGCGAGCTCCTGCCTGAGAGCAGGGGAAGGGCAGAAAGGGATAGAGAATCCCAGACAGGCTCCGTGCTATCAGCGAGGAGCCTGACGAGGGGCTTCATCCCATGAGTTGTGAGATCATGACCTGAGCCAAGATCAAGAGTTGGCCACTTAACCGACTGACACTCAGGTGCCCCATGGCTATTTTTTTTTTAATGTTTATTTATTTTTGACAGAGACAGAGACAGAATGCGAGTGGGTTAGGGGCAGAGAGAGAGAGAGACACAGAAGCAGAAGCAGGCTCCAGGCTCTGAGCTGTCAGCACAGAGCCCGACGCGGGGCTCGAACTCACGAGCTCTGAGATCATGACCTGAGCCGAAGTCGGACGCTCAACCGACTGAGCCACCCAGGCGCCCCATGGCTATTTTTTTTTTTAAAGAGTCCTTATCTTTTAGATAATTTATTGAAACATTGATTGATGCAGTTGTGTAACATTTGGGATTCACTGCTGAATAATACAGGAGGCAGGTAAGAGGTTAAGGCAGATTGGCCATGGGTTGATGGGTACATGAAGGTTAATTATACTCTTCTCTACTTTTGAGTGTGTTTGAAATTTTCCATCATAAAGGGAAAAATGAGTGTGTCTTAAGTCATACCTTTAGTTTAGAAAAATCTATTAGTGAAAGATCCTAAATGTGAAATAATTGACGTTTTCACAGCAGCATGGAAGAGGCTGCAGGTGGAGGCATGGGCCCATGAAACATTTTGTAATTGTGACATCTTTGTTCTTCCACTGGGGTATTAATTGTCTTGATTTTTGTCTTCATCTTTTTTTTTTTTTTTAAGTAATCTTTACACCCAACATGGGTCTCGAACTCACAACCTTGAGATCAAAAGTCACATGCTCCACCGACTGAGCGAGCCAGGTGCCTGTCTTTATGTTTCCTTAGAGTAATGCAAGAATGTTGCAAGTTAGTCACTAGCCCCTTGGCCTTGTGATTGTCCAGTTGTAACAGGATCTCTAGGGAAAGCTCATGAGGAGAACGTGGTTGAGTAGAGAGAGGATGGTGCCTTTTGAAAATAGTTAAACATGAAATAAAATAAACTGGTGGGTTAGGTCAAAATAACAAACAGTACATTTTTCAATTTGTTTGTGGGTTTTACAAAACAAATCTCTTTAACTGATTGGATTGAAGCCCTGGTAAATTAATAAATACAATATATCATATAATAAGTCAACATAGGCCTGGCTTCCCTACCAGGTAAGCTGTCAGCAGCTGGGAGCACCCGGTCTCTGGCATGATTCCGGACAGAGTTATTTATTGATGGACATCTTTAATGGTTTGCTTTTTTCTTATTCCAGGATTTCCTTCAAATGCTGTTGGAGAACATCCCAGAAGAAAAAAGGTGAGGACCAATTTAGGAATTAAGAGCCCCGTTTTACTTTTAATGTTAAAAAAGGATCCTGCCGTTGTTTGGCTTGTTACAATCTAGAAAATTCAATCTTCCTCCCTTAACTAACTCCCTCCCAGGCGGAGGGAGTCCCAGGACAGTCAACCAGACCGAGAGTGAGGCCCAGGTGGGTGTTGGGAGTTAGGGCATGCAGCCTTGGGAGGGCCCAGAATAGATGAGCCCTGAAAGTAGTGTAAGAGGCAAGCCAAGGACACTTTGTGGCCTTAGTTACTGTGAAAAAGAATGGAGGAGAGGAGAGTTCTAGGTTAGGGTTCTCTAGTTAATGTAGCTTAATATAAGGAAATACTGTTTAATTGAAGGTAAAAGCATAGTGTAGTAATAAGAGCCTGGGATTTGAAGTCAAGTTCTCCTAGGTTCTTACATCACTGTGGCTCCTTCCTAGATCTGAGATTCGGAGCACATTACTTCATGCCTCCAAATTTCAGTTTTTCACCCTTGGGAGGATTAAAGGATATAATACCTGTGAAAAGTAGGTGCTCAATCAATGATTGATACAGTTAAAACAATAGTCATGTTCCGTGTATCAGTCACTGTATATAGGATCTATATACAGTAAGTCATTTAATCCTTATTACAGTCCTCCACCACCACCACCATCATCATAATGGTTAATTTTTTTTAATTTTTTTAATTTTGTTTTAGACAGAGAAAGAGCAAGCAGGGGAGTGGGGCAGAGAGAGGGAGAGAGAGAATCTTAAGCAGGCTCCATGCTCAGCACAGAGCTCAACGTGGGGCTCAATCCCACAACCATGAGATCACTACCAGAGCCAAAATCAAGAGTTGGATGCTCAACTGGCTGAGCCACCCAGGCGCCTCATCATAGTGGTTATTGTGAGCCAGCACTCATTGGAAGGTTTCTATATGCAGACACTCAGTTAACCTTCCATCCAACACCGTTTGGTGCATTACATGCCTGCTCCTATTTTACCAGTAAGAGGACTGAGGCACGAGGAGCTGACCACGTACAGGAGGAGGAGGTTTAGGACCTACATCAAAGTTTAGACTAGGTTCATTCCAACCCTCTCCTTCTAATTTCCTGTCTTCATTTAGACAGTAAAAGTGAATACCCTGAAACATAATTTCTAATAGCAAAATTGGTATTTAACCTTAAAGGGGGGCATCTTGAGAAATCAAACATTTCTTTGAAGTGGAGCCAATGTTCCTCTCGTTTCTGACCCACAGATTTAACTATGTTTTTATGCTCACACTGGGTCTCCAAATGTGGAAATGAATTCTTTCACACAGACACTACTTGGACCCACACAAGGTCGTCTTCCATGTAGGTGGGCCAGTCTTGCAGGCAGTCCAGATGAATGTCTTAAAGGGAAGGTGGCAGGGTTTATGCCACCAGAAGGTGACATATAGGTTCAGGGGAGTTTCCAGGGGCTGTGAAGACATGAAGATTTTTTTCTAAGTGTTAGATTTTTGCCTGCCCTTTTGTCTTAACTCCCATCTTTCACCTTCTAATTCCAATTCCAATTCTACTTCTAATTCCAATTAGCCACTTACTTTTAAAAATTAGATGTGGGGGTGCCTGGGTGGCTTATTTGGTTAAGCGTCTGACTGTTGGTTTTGGCTCAGGTCATGATCTTGCGGTTCGTGGGTTTGAGGCCTGCATTGGGTTCCATGCTGTTAGTGTAGGGCCTGCTTGGGATTCTCTGTCTTACTCTCTCTCTCTGCCCCTCCCCTACTAACTCACTCTGTCTCTCTCTCTCAAAATAAATAAACTTTAAAAATAAAATAAAATTAGATGTGAACACACACACATAAAGCAAACCAGTGCACCATACAGAATGAACATACCTCTATTATTTGATAAATTCCTTTATTTCTACCTCTTCATGTTCATGCCTTTTGATGCTGTAGGAAGTCTTATACGGGGAGATTGCATGGAGCTTAGTAATTGGCCAAGATAATTAGCTTTTCAGGAGGCTGCTCCTGAAGGAAGTGTGGTTTGTTTTGGAAAGTCTAAAATGTTTCAGATTTACAATCCTTTTTTTTTTTTTCCAACGTTTATTTATTTTTGGGACATAGAGAGACAGAGCAGGGGCAGAGAGAGAGGGAGACACAGAATCGGAAACAGGCTCCAGGCTCTGAGCCATCAGCCCAGAGCCTGACGCGGGGCTCGAACTCACGGACTGCGAGATCGTGACCTGGCTGAAGTCGGACGCTCAACCGACTGCGCCACCCAGGCGCCCCTACAATCCTTTCTTTTAAAGCAGAGATATGGGTTTTCTTTATGCAAAAATCACATCAGATGTGGCCATTATTCCTAAGGTCAAGAACAATAGTGTGTATATATATATATATATATATATATATATATATATACACACACACACATATATATATATATTTTTCTTTTCTTCTGTACCTCCCTGAAATAAGTTTTCATGCCCTCTGGTAGAATTAAACAGTTTCCTTAGAAGTTATTGCAAGAAAAAAAAGAAAAGAAAATTAATAGAAATCGTGTATTGCTGTTACCGAAGTCTGTTACTATGCATTCTTTCAGAAGAACCTCTTAGGGCACAAATACAGCAAATTTCATGGAAGCAACAAAGTGCATTTTTGGTTTGGGAGGTCTTTCTTTTCATCCTCTTGCTACTGAGGTTATGAAGTTCATTTGGATGGCCCTGAGCCCTCTGGCTCCAGGGGACCTGGATTTTATCATTGTGAATATTTACTGAGGGACATTCTGTTGGACCCATCAAGAGACTTTTGTTGCGATTGTGGAAGAGCCCCGTCTGTTTGATAGTGGCCACCGACCACCAACCTTCACCATTGGAGAGGATGCCTCTCCCAGTTAGGATCATGTGTTGGCTAGCAGGTTTAAGCTTCTTTGTGAAAGTCCCCTTAAAAGTTAACATCATTTCCTCCCTACAAGGAATCTGTTTCAGCAAGTATACCAGAATAGTTTTTGAGACTCAAACATCTTTCCTGCTAACTAAACTGAGAATCTAATTCAGCTATTAAAACAGACCGTTTGCCCTTTTACCTATGCAGCATATTGTACCAATTTTATCTGGGTCTCCGAAGGCCCCACACCTACCCCCAGAGCTTCTAATCTGTGGCTCTGCTGCAAACTGATCCCTGGGCACATCTGTTAGGCACGTGAGCCATTCTGATCGGGACAAGGTTCTTCAGATTAGACCAGTTAGTGTTCAGGAGCCAGCATCCTGTGTGTCATAGTGCTTTTGCGTTGTTCTTTTGCTTTGATTAATTTAGCATTATCTCTTGAGCACCTCCCATACCAGGCTTTATATAAAGGCTGGACACTAGGGGATGGGAAGGAATAGATTCCATGCCCAGCCCGCAGGGATCTCCTAATCCACTGCTGAAGATACACGTGAAACAGATCATTATGACTCCTGGGAGTTTCAGACTCCTCGGTATACAGGGAAAGGCCCCCCCCATGTCCTAGCCTCGAGCCTGGAGGCAAGGAAGTACCTCTGAAGGTTTAAAGTAGGAGAGTGCCATCAGCAGGTTTGAAAGATACTGGGGCGGGGGGTTGGGGGGGGGATTGCTGTGGAAGATAGATGTGGGTGGGAGGGACTGGAAGTCCACCAATGAGAAACCAAGACAGTTGTTCACCCAGCAAGATCTAGAGCTGGAACCCGGCAGGGGTTGTGGCAGGAGGGTTTGAGAATAATGAGCAGATCTGAGGGATATTCCAGAGGGGCCACAGGTAAGACTTGGTTGGTTGTTTTTGGAGTTATAGGGAGGAGTCCAGCACGACCTGACCTACCTTTCTTGGCCACTCAGTTATTCTCTGAGGTAGCGCTGGAAACATAGCTCGGGGAGGGGAGATTTGTCTCAGGAACCAGTATGGGGCAGAGGGAGTGAAAGGGAGAGGATTTGAAGGTGGAGGGAGGAAGGTGAGGAGCTGTGTTTCACACATCTTCAACGTGAGATTTCTGTTTAAATGCTAATGTTTTATGAGACCAAGGGAAGAAAAAGCTGAAAGGGCTTAGAAGGAAATCCAAACGGATCCTAGGTGCCAACCAGCCCTGATACAAGAGCACCCTGCCCACCTGATACTGCAGCCGTATCAACAGTGGGTCTCATCAATTATTATGTCTGTGTGTGCATGTTCCTATGTTTGGTTTAATTCACTACCCTTCCTCCCCCACAGAGCTAGGGAGTACTTGCTTATAAATGTGACTTCAGCAATCTTCATTATCTACCCAAGCACAAATGACTCCTTTTGATCAAGAAACAAGTAACCATGTGCACGGTTCTGAGATGCACACTATTTGTATCTACCGTAGAGAGAAAACTTAAAGACAAATTATCGGGGTACCTGGGTGGTTCCATTGGTTGGGCGTCCAACTCTTGACTTCAGCTCAGGTCATGATCCCAGGTTTGCAGAACTGAGCCCTGCATTGGGCTCTGTGCAGACAATGTGGAGCCTTCTTGGGATTCTCTCTCTCCCTCTGCCCCTCTGCCCTGCTCACGCTCCCTGTCTCTCTAAAATAAAAAAATTTTAAAAACCAGAACATAAATTACTAAAATTTGAAAATCCATGCAGAATGTCAGTCATGTGCCAAACAAGGGCATTTCCATTTTAGACCAGAGCACTGAGGGTCCCGGTGCTTGAGTGCATCTAGTACCTGCACTTCCAAAGTCCGTTCCATCTGTAGTTTAGTTCACGTGAAAGTTGCAAGGGGCTTTACAAAGTTGCGCAAGTTGTGCTTTCCTTTAGAGATATGGAGAGTGTGTGATCTTTGGAACCTCAAGAGGCTGCAGGTGGGAGCCAGAGTGATAAAGACATCTCTTCTGGTCAGCAACAAGCTGAGAGGCACAAGTGGCAGAAACAGCTGATGGTCAGCCCACCTAGCCTCGTCACTCTGCCCTCAGATATCAACTGAACAAGCAATACCACAAGCGCAATACCATTTTCACACAAGCCTGGGTCTATTTCTATGCATGTTAAC